ACAAAATTTTTACACAAGTTACATAACCACGGTGGATTTCTTTTAAGTTAAATTTGGTGTGCCGACAGAAGTATTGATTACAACATGCACCCAAAAAATAAATACGACAAGTCTGGAATATGTTTTTCATAAACCTGATATCTTAACTCAAATATAAGTACTCTATGTACAAATACGCCAACATATGTGCACATATAACATCAAACAGTAAAAGGTTTATCAAGTTTATTTTACTGCAACAGAAGTACACGTAATCTAATATAGAATTTTTAGTTTAATGGATAAATTCCGAAAACATTTCCAGCCGAGTTAGAAATAAGCGTATGAATGTTTGACATTTTTACAAAAACGTTTTCTCTTTTTGGAAGATATACCGCTCCCTGTATATTTAAGGATGTGACAGTTGTCATATTCTTTGAATTGAAATATTTTGATTTGTAGAGAACTGTTCGTTCCCGTTCCTGGGTAGTCCCCGTACATATTCGTATCCAAACAGTACATCTTGAATTTATGTCAGTCTCTGTTGGAGATGAACTTAAATTGACGTGTATAGCTGCATAAACAAAATAGTATCGACCTTCTGGTACTCGTATTTTGCCTTCGTGATGATGTAAACTTTCTGAAATATATGAACTCTTTGGCTCTGTATCCCAATGCAGCGGTTGTTCTGTATGACTTTTGTTTACTGTTTGAACGGAAATACATTGAATTATTAAATATATGAATAATATTGACAAAAGAGATATTAATATTTAAATAATACATCAATACTTCAGTTAAAGTTTTGATAATTATACTTAACTCATCGAAGAATATACGTTGAATTGAACTTAGTTCCAAACTTCAAAAGTGAGAGTAGGGGTATTCTTTGATTTTATTCGTCATTTAGTACTTGTTACATAAAAAATAATAAGTTAAAATAGATAACCATTAGATTGCTTAAATTTGTATGGTATTTGAAATAGTGTAGCGTTGTTGACCCTTACTATAATGTTGCTTTGAAATCTTGGTATAAAATGCAGTCAAGTGTCCAGATAACGGTTGAAGGCTGGTGTTTCCACACTGCAGATATGGTTTCCTTTCTTTTCCTAAAATAAGAATTATAATAATGAAGATTTGAATTTCAGGCTTGAGAATAAACAAATGCTACACGACTGCGATAACTAGATAAGATATTGACTTTTTTAGAAAAACTGACAAATAAAATCATAAAGACCTTTTATTTTAATTGAAAGCTTACACCTTTTTTCACTCGAGCTTATTTGTTCACTCTGTGACTTGATATTTAAATCAAAATAACCACAATTCTTTCAACTTTTAATTATAAAACTGAAATGAAGTAAAGATATTTGTACCTGTAGCAAGCCTTTGTCTTCCAATTCGATCAACAAACTAAAATGGTGAGGAACAAAACATAGATGGCAACAATAAAAGATTTCTTGAATAACTGTAGGTTTTTGGGGTCTTTTAATGTTAATTTGTTGTATTGTTAGCAAGGTGCCACTGGCCACCTGGCATTATTAAATGAAGAATATGAAATATAAAATTTAATATTGCCAAAACTTCTATGTCATGTTTCAAATGTAACGCACATCTTTTAAGGCTAGTTTAACACATTCAATATATTCTTAATATGTGTGGAATCCTGAAATAATTAAATCCAAAGCTAGAAATCTTAAAATCCTTAGCAATCTCTTACCTTTGGAATCAAATCTGTAAGGTTGACGAATTTGCAAAAATAAATGTGTTTCTCTTTAAAAGTCACGACCTTATGTTTGTCAATGGTAAAAAGGCTAAAGTCTTCGTCCGGACTCAACGAAACATTTACACAAGGAATTGAATATTGGTCCAGAACTTTATCATAAAATCCAGTTTTTGAATACGATGATTCTAGTGAAATGAAATAACAAATTAAAACCACCAACAAGAGAAGTATAAGAGAAATAAAAGCTAAAATGCTTGTAACAACTTGGAAAACGTCTATATGATTAACATTCACATTTTCTGTTTTCATATCTATTACGTTTCACTTCCTCAGTTTATCATTTTAACTCCTTATAGCCACGCACTGTGCATTCCCTGTCAATCTGACACTAAATTTTACGCAAATTTACCATTTACAGTCCGATCTCGCTTATTCGACACACTTTATTCCAACACACATTATGATCCGAAGAATATCGGCGGTCTCGTTTTTATCTCTATATAAATCAATATAAATACGAACTTATTATTTGAAATGCATTATCCAAATACCTCCTATTTTTCGAAGTAAAATTTCGGTCCCGATTATACAATTATGAAAGAATTCACACCTATATTTCGAAGCCTGACTAATTATCACAGATTTAATTACGTAACATATTAAAATAAACATACATACAGGTAAACTGGACGTACAAAAACAGTCATAGTTGAAAACATAAAATACTTGACTTAGTCTACCTAACTACCTTAGTGCACAACAGAAACGTATTAAAAACTCCTATAAATTATGAAAGGTTTATTATTAACATTAATGTAATGGGTATTTTAAAAGATTTTAAAGACGTTTAGGAGACTGATTTCATGGATTAATAATAAACACTCAATTTGGAATCATAACAATGAATAAATAGTCAGATTGTGTTAGCAAGCCGTTGTTAATTACAATCTAAAGCTTTTTTCCAAACCTTTTTTGCCATAAACGTGCAATATGAATCGACAATTTTTTATCGAAACAATTTAAAATCGAACAGCGCTGTATGGGGACCACATGTTTCGTCTTCGTGTTATGATGTGAGTTAGTGTAACTGATTTATTTCACGGAAAAAGAAAGTAAAATAAATAAATTTCTTTCTCTTTTTTCTATATAATTATGCATACGAAGCGTACCTGAACAATGCTGTTAATATTACTCGCCATAATGCTTATCATCTGGCATTGTGATGTGAGAAAATAAGCACTTTAAAGTTCGTTTGTAACATAAAACGTTATCCTAGAGTTATGTATAAAGTTGACCATTAGGTAGAGAGGACGTCGCTCAAATAATGTACCGATTTGGACGATACGATTGTAGCAAATGTCAGAACAATATTTAAAGTAACTGTGTTATCTTCTAAACATGACTGTACATAAAACTTTAAGATTTCTGTAAACTTGATCACTACAAACGTTTCTTTGTTCTTAACTTTGGAAATTTACTCTGTATTCACATTAAAATTTTATTTTCTTGTTCACACTAACGATCGGTGAATTGGCTTTAAATAAAAGCGTTTATGCATGTAAAAAACATCTTTTTTCAAAAAGTGATTCTCAAATTCACAGAATGTAGGTATTTTCTTTATTGATAATGTAATTTATTAGATAACTTTTCTTAATACAGGCTCTTTATATCATGGAACGCGCGAATCAAAGGTACAATGTGAACTGTATTTGTAATGTTAAACTTAGCTTATTATAATTAAAGTACCTAGAAGGTGTTTTATATTTTCAACATAATCGTAATACTAGTTTAATAAGCGTTTTATTGCGTTTTAACTATGGTCTCCAAAAATTGAAGTTTGTTGTTTGTTTTCATTTTTTTATTTTTTATAAACAGATACATTCTTAGTTTAGTTAAACTCATGTCGTCTGCCAGTTTATTGAGTTAATGTATCATGTAAAAGACATATTCCAAATATTGATTGATTCTTCGAATGTAGACAATTTTTAAAAAGTAGAGGAAATCATAGCATGACCCGAGCGTATAAGTAACTTTTTCTTAAGCTATATTAATAATATCGTTTAAAATGATTGTTACAAAAGGGTTTTATATAAAAACATAAATACATAGAATACCATTTGACACTGCCGTAGATAAAACATTTCAAATATATCCACTTTATGTGCAAGATTTATTCCAGTTGTAAAGTACTTTATTGAATTTAAAAACGGAGATATATAACGCTAACGTGTTCGACTGATTGATTATGTCAATTTTTGGCATATTTTTGAGAGTTGTATCGCTGATAAGAAAAACCTTATTCAATATTTATCATCGTCAATTGTTCTGTCACAATATTATATACTAACTATTATTCAAAGATACTTTGCAATTCGTATTCGATTACATCAAAAAATATTTTATGTTTTTTAATGATACTTCTTTTATCTTCTAATGTAAACAGTTTTTAAACTTCTTTATGACCGTAATGTCATTTGTCCCTCCTTACCTGAAATAAAAACACGTAATTTTCTTGTACTTGATCCAAGCATATTATCTGTCTCTCTTAATACGTGAAATATCAGTAATGGATGTTTTTAAATGGCAAGCTACCTATGGAATGTTACCAAAATGATTTGCTTTTATTTTTACCTAATAATTATTCATGCTAAAGGAAACTGTATGTTATATACGGTAAGTTATCAAACTGAAACGTGTTTGTTTTTCATTACAAGTATAATTTTCTTGTGTTTGTTCAGAGTGAACGCTTATTAAAGTTTAACTCTATATTCTTATAAAAGCTATTCTCAGTGTCATTATCGAATAAGAATAAATTAACAATAAACGGCAGACGTAATTAGGGTAAAACTGAAAGCTAGTTAGTATATCAGGTTGGTATTTAACATGTGTATGTATAATGCATACATCATGTACATATGTCATAATACCATGCTTTAGAAGATAAACTGAAAAGTCAATACGTTTTTATCCTTATTGATGTAATGATGGATTGAATGGAGAAAACACTACAGGCGAATATAATGAATTATATAACAATACAATTAAAGCTGTATTTTGGACCATTTTTACATAAGGATGACTAAGTTTGGTCAATTAGTCCTGTATTACAAAATTTTAACACACGGTTGCATTACCGCGGTGGATTTCTTTTAAGTTAAATTTGATGTGCCGACAGAAATATTGATTACAACATGCACCCAAAAAATAAATACGACTGAAATATGCTATACAAGTACTCTATGTACAAATACGCCAACATTTGCGCACATATAAACTCACAGCAAAACATTAACAGTAAAAGGTTAATCAAGTTTATTTTCTGTAACAGAAGTACACGTAATTTAACATAGAATTTTAGTTTAATGAATAATTAACCATAACCATGGCATGCATACCAACAAAACCCTTATTTCATTGCGGTCCCTGAGTGTGGTTGGCATGACATAGAGAGCCAATGATATTACTTGATGCAAAATATCACAGATGCAAAATATCGCAGAAAATCTCAAAAAGAATAGTATCACACACAACACATCGCATATACTTGGTATTTTGTTGATACTATCATATACAATCCACAACAGATTTTATGCCATTATAGGAACAATCAAAACAAAGCACTTATATCACAGATAGTTAAGTACTTGTGTGTTTTGATAAATATATTAGTTACTCTCAGTTTCTAGACATATCTATCTAAAATGTTTTACACGAACTATTTCATTAAAGAAAATGTCCATGCATGACTCCTGCCAAAATGACAATGGACAGTATTTGAGGACTTAAGTTATCACTCAGGTACGCTGGGGCTAGGCAAAGTTTGATTTTACTTCAGTGTTGTTATATTTTTCTGGTCCTTCGGAATCATTGAGTCCAGCATTTTGAATGTAGAGAATTGAGTACTGCGGGCATGAGGAATGTTGCACTTTACCATTTTCCCTCATGTACATATTCAATGACACAGGGTCTGCAATTTTCATAAAATTTTGCTGTTTCTAATGCTTCCGACGAATTATTTTTTCCACATATTTATTGAAAACATGAGATAAAATGAAGGAAAGTTTAATAACTTTTACACGTAATGCAGTAGACGGCTCTTATCAATTAACCACTCAATTGAACGGGGTAATTCCTCCGCTGTTCAATCAAACATCTGGGCATTTTGTACCTAAAATCAAGCCCAAGCATAAAAAATTGTCGAAATTGGAACTAAATAATTAATAATCAATAATTTAGCTGCAGTCGGTCCTCCCTAGTAACGTATCAGCAATAGTCCAAAAATGCAATTAAAACGGATACCTTGAAAGTAAAGTGCGATTACGTCATTGGTGATAACTATATAAAATAAGTACATGGAATTAAACACGCTTACTTATCAAAACAGTAGCTTGAATAATTTATAATCAATTACAATACGATTTATAATTACTGTTAACCTGCCTACGATCAAACCTACTATACTGCCTCGCACTTACACTAACAGATATTCAGAAAATTTAATTGTTGAATAATTGTTTAACTGTTTAACTAATGCAAAATTCTAAGCACAATTTGGGACATGGTTCTCTGAATTCATATCAGGTAAAGTCCAAAAGAATTATCTTTTGTGTATTGCAGGTACGTTATATTACTAACTTTAACTGAAATTTCATCACCTGCTTTTAGACTTACAATAGTAGATACATAGCTACTATATGAGTTATAAAATTTGTTCTTTGAGATATGATGAGGTTGAATGTTTGAAGTTATCTCAGATTCTGCTGTATCAATATTGAATTTAAACAGAGCATGCTTTATAGGTTTCTTCAAGTCTTCAATGCTTGGTTTTCCAGTTGAATGATCACAAGGTTCAAAGAAATCAATTAATGAATATAGAAAGTATGTTCCATCAACTGGTACAACAAGTCGACCGTTCCTATAGCGTACTCCGTTCCTTAAAAAACTGCTGGTGCTAAGAGGATCTTTATCGTACATCCAGTCCCTAATAGGAGCCATTTCAGCAACTTTTATATCTATAATATATTATTTTTATTTCAGTAAAATCAATTTTGTCCCTTTTCATTCATATAAATGTGAAAGTTATTTGATGTTCCTAAAAATACTTAAACATTTTAGAAACGAAACCATTAAAGTCCTGTTTTATCTATACCTGAATTTGCATGCAAATAAAAAAAACAATGTTTTTTTTTTCAATGAATGGTGGATATTTTAGATAAAATAAATTTTCAAGATATCAAATATTTTGCATTTTAGTTGTTTACAAATTTTCACTTGTCATTGCATAGTCTATCGTTTAATACCTGTTGTTATGTCAGGGTTTGTTCGTTTTAAACGTGCTGCAGGCTTTGCTTCCCAGAAAGATTGATCTGAAACGCTCATCAAACGAAGTTTGTTGTCTTCTAGGTACTTCTGTTTCCGGTCTCTATCTTCTTTCATCACTTTAACGTATGCATTTGCAATGCTCTATATTTCAATAAGTATGACAATGTAATGAAAGGGTATACCGGTATAATATAAGGCAATTAATTTGTAAGATATCAAGCAGATATAACGTTTTACAGTACATGTATATTCAACGGGCATTCGGAAACGTTTTTATATGTTTATACATGTATAAAATTAAAACGTATCAAAACGTAAAATGTATCATTTAAAACCTATGAAAAGGAAGTAAATTGAATAAATGATACAGTCTTAGAAAATATTTTTACTAAACAAAGACACAATAAAACATTATTTTCTCAGTTTTGTTATGTTTTGATTTGATAACATCTTTTGCGCATAGATAGATCAATTTGTTCATTTAGAGACGTTTATGTTTGCCCAAGGCAAAGTATTAAGTTTTATTAAAAAAATCAACTTACTTCGTCTAAATAATCACGTAAATGATAAAAAGTTGCTCCACATTGTATGTTCCTATTTGCAATTGGAAGGCAAATTTGATCGTTTTGAGTAGTGATCGGAATAAAAGAAAGAACGGTCAAAACAACAGCAATGGTTAAAACAGCAAAAACAAAAACTATAATTGAATTATATTCCAGCGCTTTATCCATATTTATTCTTTATAATTTGCAGTAAACAATAATAAAAAGTTACAAAATAGCACTAAACTTTACAATCACACGTATTGTAAATAAAATAAAATGTTTATGAATCAATGTAATTCTTGTTAAATTAACACAATCACTGACGTGTTAATACACGTGTTGATTTCATTAAACTGTTGACTAACATTAGATTTCAAAACTTAGCAAAAGAACTGTTTATCAATCGATATTGAGATGCGACCATAAAGTTACATTAAATGAATAAGTAAAAATATTTTGCCGTTGGCCTAATAACCAAGCATTCTACTGTTTTAATAACCTTTTTAACAGTATTGTTGTAAATCTCATCAAATATTGTTCATAAATTACGATTTTAAACGGAAAACCCCACGGCAACACTAATGTTCGTATACGAATTTTAACATGCAAATGAAGACTTTAATCAGTTCATGTATGTGCTACGTCACAGTGTTATAGTTGCTATACAGAACACAGAAAATACGAGATTTTCATGTGCATACACACTTTAACCGTTTTAGCTTCACGGTGCACTTGGCATGGCGTTCAGGAAAGAGTAATCATCTCATAAAAATATTAAATTTGTATGAAAACAACCGTTACAATGCGTAAATATACCGTTATATTAGAACTGCTACTTATAGACATGTTTGTTGATTTAATAATGATGTACGGATGACCCGAAGGCGGAGTTTCTCATGCAAATTTCGATTTCGCCACAATGAGGTCGCAGATGTTTATGCTTATAAAACTCATTTTGGTTGCCTTGACACCATAATAAGATCTGGCATCGATATGAAACCAAATTTACTAATGAATTGTCGCTATTTCTGTTGTTAAGAAATTCATTTAATGTAGTTTTAAACCGGAAGAGATGTACATATATGCCTATGCAAAATATTGAAACTTAATGATAACGATACTTTCGTGTTTGAAAAATTCGGAAAGGTTTCAAAATTTATTGGCTATCGACAAGCAAAATGTCCTTGGACATATTTACAAACATCTTATTTTTGAATACGGGAAAGACAGACATAATATATATAAAAACGTGAATATAATATATACAAAGGCATACAAACATCTAATAATCATCATGTATAATAATAATCAATTCAAATAATTTATATTTCCTGGGTAATGTTTCTTATCGTATGGGCATCTTTAATGGCTTTAGCAATGTTATATTTTTTCGTGAACTTAGCCCCTGGGATTCACATAACCCAATTTTATAGTACGTAGTAATTTAAATACTTGAAAAATTGCCAACAGCCTGTGTGGTTATTCGATTAGGCATAATAAGAACATGCAATAATTTCTATAAATGGAATACCTTGGCCAACTTAAAACTTTCAGTTTCATGTTTGATAATGTAAACAACTTATATTGTCACGGTCTAGGCCGTAAGGTAAAACCTTTGGTAGTGTGGTCTCTTAGTAGAGGTTTATTTAGGTAGTCTGCCAAGGGAGTTGGTTGGTTCCACTCAGTTTACTTCTATAGTGATTGCTATTCTATATCTACTTTGCTCAGTTAAACCTTTTACTTATAATTTTAATGGAACACTATCTCTACATAGATAAATAAATTCTCTGTAACATTTAAACACTGTTTATTCCAGTAGTAAATTGCAAGTTTATTTTGGTTATAACAATGTTGCAATAACAAAAAAATAAATTGTCAACAGATGAGCACAATTGTATTTTTATCATTTACCAACAGATTCAATACGATAGTGTAAATAAGTAAAAGTTTGTAGTAGAAATTCAAGTCCTATTTATGTTAAAACCGTTTTCTAAATTATATAGATCTCCTTTAATTTAATGTATCTTAATGTCTAACGCGTGTACCTTCTTTAATAGTCAACACGGAAAAATAGCGTACCAGTTAACAGTGACTAAATTCAACAAGCAGTTAAATAATCTATTTCAAGCAGTAAAGTGTAATAAAGATTAAATGTCTAGAAAATAGCTCAGAACTGTTTAATCTGAATAAATAAATCGTTATTTATAAAGAATAGTTTAATTACTTTAATAGGTAAAATTGCAGACGGCACTTATAAATTTTTCCGCCCAAATTTGTAACTCAACAAAACGGGGTTTTTGCCTCTGAAGTTCTGATCAAGACTGAGCTCTTCAACCAAAAATCCGGGCCCTTTTATACCCAGACAAATCCCAACCAAAATAAAGTGGTTGAAGTGGTTGTTTTACCAAAGTGGTTGTGGTTGGAGCCAAAAAGTGGTTGGTCCGACCAAGAAATATTGGTTGATTTACCAAAACGGTTAGAAATTTAAACATAGACTCTTAGACCTATGAAATAATAAAAATGGACATAGAACATTTTGTTACAAATATTATGGCATTATCTTAAACAAGTTATACCTTTTCAATGAAGAAAATACACAAAAATCCGATCGCAGAATTTCGTCAATAAATTAGCTGTAGCCGGTCGTCCCTAGTAACGTACCGGAAACAGTTCAAAATGTCATCATGAAGCGAAAGTGGGAGCACGTTTTTCTAAGAAAACGGATCATAACTACAAAAATACATGGAATTAAACATTGTTACTTGGCAAAACAGTGACTTATATAATTATTAAACAATAACAATAGGATTTAAAATCACAGGTAACGAGTGAAAGTGACAATTTCCCTCAGAAGTTAGATTGAGCTGCACATCGTGAAAAAGGAGGATAAACAAGGAAAACATTGGATAAACTAGGATAGATTAAATCTGGCTCATAACCGTATACATGGGTTGGTGTTTTGATTTCTAGTAAAACACAGCTCATTATATGTTTTATGGCTGGTAAATGTCAACATACCCTCACTATTAAAGATTAGAAGAAAAGTAACTTCTCAAGTTCAAGTCAATTAAGGTAAGGAGTTGAGTTCATGCTGTTCAGTTATGTTACAGTTATAGTTGACAATTTCAGATCACTACAATATTTCTTCGTATTTCGCTCTTATTGTATACAATCGTTGCTGACATACAGTGCCTCGCTATGGCCATCGTGGCACACACTAACTCTAAACAATGAAAACATGAAATTACATTGGTAAAAATCTAATAACCGAAATCACATTTTGGCCAAGTTACGAAAGTGCGATGGTAAAAAGTGAAAATAAAGAAACCACGGTGGTAAAAACATGATATTATTTCATGATAACACCATCTTACTTTTGACATTTTTACTATTGTAATTTTTCTACTTTTCTCCATCGAATTTTTAATTTTTCATCATCAAATTTTTTTTCTTGAAATCTTAATGTATTGTTTATTCTACAATGAGTTCAAAGTAGTGTTCTAGATCTGTCGCTCTATTACTGTCTGGTTTAACATTAGAACGACTGAGATTATTTATGGAAGCATTTGTATAGACAGTCTATCTCAACGTGAAGTCCTTTATTATGAATGGGTAATTAATGGGGTGAGGGGTCTATCATCTTCATTTTTGAGGGTGTTTCCTTTTAAGTTTTTGTTGTAGTTGTTGTTGTTTGTTTTTGTTGTTTGTTTGTTCGATTGTGTTTGAAACTATAAACTTATTGGACCATTCTTAAATCCGCATCTGGAACCAACTAGTACTTAGCAACGAGTGTAAACTTTCTTGCTCACGAAACAACGGCTACTCTTAACGGGGTTTGTGACCACTCGGCCAGCAATTCACTTCACCTTGCCGCCGCTATGATTTTAAACTTAAATTTGGGTACTAAAAAAAACAATTATAATTAAGAAAGCACAGAGCATGCCAAACAAATATACTTACATAGAAATATGAAAATGTATTTGATTTCATAAGGACAGAACATTTTATGTAATTATAAATCTAAATTTTTACTCGTTTATAGCATATAATTGATCTTTTAAATCCATTATCAGGTTTAAATTACTTGATCACTACAAACGTTACTTTGTACTTAACATAGGCAATTTACTCATTCACATGTTTTTCTTGTTCACACAAATAATCAGTGTATCAAAGCGTTTGTGCATGTAAAAATATCATTTTTCAAAGAAGGTAATAGTCAAATTTACAGAATGTAGGTATTTTTAATGATATGTAATTCATCAGAAAATGTTTTTTAATACAGACTACGTATACCATCGAACACGCGATTCAAAGTTACAATATGTACTGTAGGTGTAATTTTAAACTTAACTTAAAGTGCACATCTTTATTTTTAACATAATCGTAATATCACTAGTTAACTAAGCGTTATATCGCGTTTTAACCGATTAAACTTTATATTAGTTGTTCCCAAACATTGAAGTTTTTATTGTTTGTTTTCTTTTTTTACTTATTACAAACTTTTAACTTTCATGTCCTCTGTAAAATTATTGAGTTAATGTATCATGTTAAAGACGTAGTCCAAATAATGGTTGATTCTTTGAATGTAGACAACTTACAGATGTTAAGATGTTAACAAGTGATCAGATCGCAGCATAATCCGACCGCATTAGTAATTTTTTTCTTAAGTTATACAAAAAATATCGTTTACTATACCTTTTCATATAATTTTTCAGGGGCGGATACAGAACATTTGTTCCTGGGGGGCTGACATATGGGTGGAAGATTTTGACAAAAATAATGCAACAGGCGAAAATTGTGCATGTTTTCAGATAGGGCCAATATCTTGTTCAAGTGACAAACATTGCAATTAATGTGTTTAATAGCTCATCTTATGAGTGGCAATGTGCTTTCGCTTCAATATGTGTTTACTAATATTTCCGTAAATATTTAGATGATATGAAATTAAGAAAAATATATGTAATTGGGGTGGGCCTGGGAGGGGTGTCCCCTCCGATAGACTGAGAAAATTTTGAAATATGAGGTTGAAAATAGTGTTATTTCCTTGACTTTCTAGTACTGTTTATGATACATTTTGGATGGTTTTACAGGTAAGTGTTTGCAGGGTATTTCAAATAGAATTCCCCTGGTGTTTAGTAATTAAGCATTTACAAAATAACAGCACACTAATTAATATTTGCGCGATTGTTGATTAAAATAATTTTTGAACACTTGATCAATGTACTCATCTGAATAATAGACGATTTTCCAAAGTAAAGTGATATTAAAGTTACTGCCTTTCAATTATACAAAAAATAATTTCAAACACATATATATTCAATAAGAATTTTTTCCAACAGATACTAAAGAGGTCATTACAATTTAAATTTTATTAAAAAAAATATTACTGCAATAAAATAAGTTATTAAAAGCAAATGACCAATCAGTTCATCAGAATAAAAATCTTAGAAAAACTAGTTATTATTTAAAAATGCGATTCATTTAGTATAATAATAATAATAATAATAATAATAATAATAAATCTTTATAAAAACTGGTCACCTTTTTAATTTACAAATAATAATTTTCAATTTCTTAATCATAGGGCTTTCGCAAAGAAAAAAATTAAAAACAAAGATAGTAAAATATGGTGTACAATGTAACACATCTATTTGCCACTATCTGTAACTATCAATTTCATCAGACCTTTGGAAAGTAATTAAACCAATCAATTATGCAGTTTAAACATTGAAGTTATTCAAGCATGTTGATAGATAAAGATCTCTGCCAAGCCCCCAAGGCAGGAGATTAACAACTGGATGACAGCAATTAATGTTTTGATAAGGGAGTACACTACAGCCAATAAAGTTTGAAACTGACAAAAATATTTTCCAGCCCAGCTGGTAGACTTATCTTTGGGCCAAGCTGGGGGGGGGGGGGGGCTGCAGCCCTGAAGCCCGGGCCTGAATCCGCCACTGTTTTTATAAAAGGGTATTATATGAAAACATATCGAATACCATTCAGCAATGCCGTAGACAAAACTAACCGTTTTCTGCGCATGATTTATTCCGGTTATAAAGCATTTTAACAGTTTATGATATTGAAATTGAAATCCGAGATCTATTATATATGAGTCTAGTGTTCTGAAAGCATAACTTTGTCAAACTTTGGCATATTTTTTTACAATGACTAACTAAAATATCATTTCATAGATATCAGGTCCAATAAGAGTTGTATCAATGCCAAGGAAAAAACCTATTCAGTGTTTGTCTTCAATTTATCATCAATCGTTCTGTCACAATATTATATACTAATTATTATTAAAAGATATTTTGCAATTCCTACTCGGGCTCATCAAAAAAATATTATATGGTTTATAATGATACTTCTTTTATCTTCTAATGTAAAAAGTTTAAAACTTATGACCTTAATGTCATTTATCCGTCCTTACTTGAAATAAAAACACGTGCTTTTCTTGTAATAGATCCAAGTTATATATTATCTGTTTATATAAATACATAAAATTTCGCTAATGTAATGGAAAACTTCAAATATGATAAGCTTGTAATGGAAAGTTACCAAAATGACTTGTTTTTAACCTAGATAATATACATGCTCAATGAAAGTGTATGCTATATACGGTAAGCTATCAAACTGAAGCGTTTTTATAATTATTTTCTTTTTTGCTGAGATCGAACGCTTGTAAAAGTTAAACTTTTTTTTCTTTTCTTACAAAACGTATTCTAAGTGACATAATCGAGTTAGATAAAATTAGCAATAACATAGCAGATGCAATTAGAGAAAACTAAAAGTTAGTGAGTGTATCAGGTTGGTGTTTAACATGTGCTAGTATAATGTATACATATGTCATAATCCCCAGCTTTATGAGGTAAACCGAAAAGTCAATACGTTTTTATCCTTATTGATTTAATGATGGATTGAATGGAGACAACACTACAGGCGAATATAATGATTTATATAACAAAACAATTAAAGCTGTATTTTGGACTATTTTTACATAAGGATGACAAAGTTCGGTCAATTATTCCTGTATTACAAAATTTTTACACAAGTTACATAACCACGGTGGATTTCTTTTAAGTTAAATTTGGTGTTCCGACAGAAGTATTGATTACAACATGCACCCAAAAAATAAATACGACAAGTCTGGAATATGTTTTTCATAAACCTGATATCTTAACTCAAATACAAGTACTCAAGAACAGATACGCCAAAATATGCGCACAATCATATAACATCAAAAAGTAAAAGGTGAATCAAGTTTTTTCTGTAACAGAAGTACACGTTATCTAACATAGAATTTTAGTTTAATGGATAAATTCCGAAAACATTTCCAGCCGAGTTAGAAATAAGCGTATGAATGTTTGACATTTTGACAAAAACGTTTTCTCTTTTTGGAAGATATACCGCTCCTTGTATATTTAAGGATGTGACAGTTGTCATAGTCTTTGAATTGAAATATTTTGATTTGTAGAGAACTGTTCTTTCTCGTTCCTGAGTAGTCCCCGTACATATTCGTATCCAAACGGTACGTCTTGAATTTATGTCACTCCCGGTTGGAGATGAACTTAAATTGACGTGTATAGCTGCATAAACAAAATAGTACCGACCTTCTGATACTCGTATTTTGCCTTTATGATGATGTAACCTGTCTGAAATGTATGAACTCTTTGGCTCTGTATCCCAGCGCAACGGTTGTTCTGTATGACTTTCGTTTACTGTTTAAACGGAAAAAATTAAAGATATTTAAGTTTCAATTGCAATAACATTGCAAATCTAGATATTAATATTTTAATGATACATTTAGACTTCAATTGATGTTATATTGTACGAAGAATATATGTTTATTTCTATATTATATCAGGAACAGAACAAAATTAAGCTCCAAACTTCAAATAGTGAGTGTGGGAGTACTCTTTAATATAATGAATTATTTACTACTTATTACATCAAAATACGTTATAAATTATAAAAGATAATCATTAAATTGTTTAAATTTGTATAATATTTGAAATAGTGTAGCGTTGTTGACTCTTACTATTATGTTGCTTTGAAATCTTGGTAAAGAATGCAGTCAAGTGTCCAGATAACGGTTTAAGGTTGGTGTTTCCACACTGCAGATATGGTCTTCTTTCTTTTCCTAAAATAGAATTATAATGATGACAAATTTAAATGCAGGCTTTTGAATGAACAAATGCTATCCGTATGTGATAGCTCGATAAGATATGGACTTTTATGAAAAACTGACAAATGAAATCATATAGAACTTTATTATGAAGTGAAAGCTTAAAAGTGTTTCACTCGAGCTTTTTTGCTCATTCTAAACGTCTGTCTATTTATGACTGGATATTGAAATACCAATAACCACAAAACTTTTAACCTTCATTGCAAAACATTACTTATAAAATGAAGGAAAGTTGTCTATACCAATTGCAAGCCTTTGTCTTCCAATTCGATCAACAAACTGAAAAGTATTGGTACAAAACATAGAAGGCAACAAAAATGGATAACTTTAATAAATGTAGGTCATGCTCGTGTCAATTAATTATTTAATTAAATTGAAATGTTAATTTATTATTTAAATAGCTGATAATGTCAAAATGTAAAATGGCGCCTTGGAATTATTAGATATAAAATATAAATTAATTATTGCAAATACTTCAATGGCATGTTTAAAATAAAATGTACTTCATTTACAGCCAGTTTAACACATTCAATGAATTTCTAAGATACGTGAAATCCTTAGATAATTATATCCTCAGCAAAAAAGCTTAAAATTCTAAGCAAGCTCTTACCTTTGGAATCAGATCTGTAAGGTTGAAGAACTTGCAAAAATAACTGTGTTTCTCTACAAAAGTCACGAACTTATGTTTGTTAATATTATAAAGGTTAAAATCGTCGTCCGGACTCAACGAAACATTTTTACAAGGAATTGAATATTGGTCTAGAACTCTTTCATTAAATCCAGTATTTGAATACGATGAGTCTAGTGCAATGAAATAACCTATTAAAACCACCAATGAGAGAAGTATAAGAAAAACAAAAACTAAAATACTTGTAACAACGTGGATTACGTCTATATGATTAACATTCACATTTTCCGTTTTCATCTCTTTTCCGTAACATTTCCTCGGTACTCCTTATATCCACGCACGATACAACTCCAATTTCCCTCTCACATAGTTATCTACCACAGAATGTAAAATTGATTTATGATTAAGAATAAAATATTGGAATATACTTGGTCTATATTTAAGTTTTATAACATATTATGATGTTAAAGTATGGTTAATCATTCTCCTTCTTTGATCACTACATGTATGTCCGCTTAGTTACGCTAAACAAATCATAAATCATTCAATAAAAACAACTGTCAGTATCCTCAAGCTATTTATAGTCGCGAATTTGTAAATTATTCAAATGTTGAAAAAAAAATAATCTTATTGCTTACATATTATAGTTTTATGTATATTCTGTAACACAAGGAAAATATAGTCAAAATGTTACGAGACATACATAAATCACAATGGGGTTCATATCGATTTAACACATTAGTTAAAAATTGTTGACTACTTAATTAAGCTATTGCACAACGGAAGCAAATGGACATTTTTTACTGATTATAAATGCGCAATTAAATGTTAACAGAGGAATTTTCCGTAAATTATGAAAGGTTTATTATTAACACGAATTTTGTATTTTTTAAGTTAGTTTGTGCCAAATTAATTACAAAAACTATTAACACGAATGAACACTTTTATTATGAATAAAAAGTCAGATTGTGTTTAAACGCCGTTGTTATTTATTCTTTCATGACAAGCTTTTTCCCAACCTTTACTTAGCATCAATCCCTATTAAGGGAAATGAGATATGTTACAAAAAGCAAGATAAAATTGTACAACACTAATAAACACTTTCAAAAGTTCGTTAGTAACATAAAACGTTATCTTAGAGTAATGTATAAAGTTTACTATCCAGTTGAACGGAAGGACTTCAAATGATTTACCGATTTAAATGATTAGATTGTCAGAGGAAAGGTGACACAATATTTATAGTAACTGCGTTATCTTCTGAACGAACATGACTGTAAATAAAACTTTAAGATTTCTATTATCTATTTGTATCACTTTTAAAGATTTTGAACAGTATTTCTTCAATTACTAACGATGTATATCACTTTACGTAACTCGTTACAAAAATACATTTTTGTTTGAAAATTACGAACATCTAAGCTTATCAAAACCAGCTCCATTTGTGAGTTGGAGCATCAAATAAAAGACAAAGCGTCATAAATAAAACTTGATAAATCTAAAATCGAAAACGTTGATTCTATAATAGGATTATTCAAATGGCATTGTCTCAGTATCAATGTTCTACATAATAAACTGTAAAGCCTATTAATACTCATTATTGTGACGTGGTACTTCTTTTTGCACTCCTTATTTAGGAATTATTAAACATAAGTAAAGTTTATTTACTGCTAAGGACGTAGGAGGAAATTGACTTATTAACTCATTATCAGGACTAAGACACTCCAAATAAGAAATAAAAATATTAATCCTGTCCCAGTAACTAATAATTTGAACGAAATAACGTTTACATACGTCATAGAAATGAATGATTCTAGTACCGATTACGGTGCGTAACTCTTTATCAAATCGACACTGCAACATTTTCAATTTTCCGGTTTTGGTCTTTCGTTAGGGATTTTTCTCTCTCCATATTCATTTTTAGAAGGAATACGTGATTCCTATTTATTGTTTATTAACTCATATTTAGCGTATAACTCATAATTAAAAGTAATTCCTAATTAGGAAATATTATCTCCTAATAATAAATAAGAAAAGCCACATTAGGATTGAAAAACTTATTCATTAAACATATTCACACAATTTTTAAAACCGCTCATCCATGATTTCAAAGAAGTTCCTACACTCTCAGAATATATTTGTGTAATCAATGCAAATGATACATTTGCAGAAAATAATACAGAGATCATTTAACAAGACAAAATGTTCTAGCATTTTCAGAAAGGTTTTCTATTCAATACGTTCTTAATTCATAATTGTTGACATTACTGTCCAAAATAATATGAAAATATGTATAAAATTATTTTAAAAAACTGCAAGGATGTACAATTTTAATACATGTATGACGTTATTGTGATTACTGATTGAGTTTAGTTATATTACAAAGAATTGCATGTTCATGGTAGAAACTTTAAAACGCAATTAGATTTTTTAAGACAACTTGCTCTTTCTGGTCATAAAAATCAAACGGAAATACCATAAACATCAAAACTTTCCATTAATATGCTATCTTAAAATAACAAAATCACATTACAATATTCGGTATATACGTTGATGTCCCTATAGTTATCAGGAGAGTTTTAAATGGTTTGGTCCATCCGTCCGTCACTCTCAGGGTGAACTCGGGATATTCTATTCATTCCGCCTATCATTATTATATTATTGTGTACTGTTTTACTGGAAATTTAATAGCATTATTGGGTGTTTTAACAAAGTAATAGAGTTCAAGAAAAACATTCATTCGGAGCCAAATATTGAAGGGCTTGGTGTTGCTTATCTAAATTGTCCTGAATGTATATACATGAGGGCTTGATATATTTTAAATTTACATACATGCTGTTATTTGAGAATAGAGAAATTACCCTGAGCCAAGTCTGAATATAAAAGTAAACAACAAATTCATTTCCGTCTTAATATTTAACAGTTTTATTACACAATCAAAGAAACGCTAAAATGCACTAAATTCCTTTCCAAAATAAGTGTGTTATATGAAACTAAACATCTATAATAGACTGATAACATAATAAATCTATTCATTTTTTAAATTTATTTGGCAATGCTACTTGTAAAATTTATTTGCATTGGAAATTAAAAAGCAAATTAACATATTCTTTGATATCTCGCAACGAATAATGCCAAATAAAACGAAGAAAATATATGGATTCATGTCGATCCCATTTGATAAATTTAGTAGAATTTCCAATGCTTTTTTTATTCTTAGTATAAATAACCGATTGTCTAAAATTATTTAATGTAATCATATCTCAAGAGGATGCCGTATACGAGTAATCTTTGATACAAATTTGTATGTTTTTTGTTATCATCAATAAATAAATCAAATTCATTTTCAATCACGCAACACTAAGCAGCTTCAATCAATTGATAATAACTTTTATCTTACTGATCGGGATATTGAGACATAAATTTATAATTTGTTTGTCTGAACTTTTCAATACGATTTTTTCTGCTTTTACTTTGTTAATTAATTGAGTGATATCTTCATTAAATAGTTCAGTTATCTTCGGTAAAAGCTACCCTGGCAGTAGAATAATGTACGAGAACCAATAATGTAGACGTGAAAGTGTTAGTGTATCTTTATCGTTTGAATAAGAAGACGGAAAAAAGAAAAATGTTACATGAATGACCTATGTTTGAGTAAAAGAGGAGTGACTTTGCGAATAAAGATGTTGTTCAAGAGACGACTACCATCATATGTACTTCAATAAAGATGTCTTAGTATAGCGGTTGGATGATACGATGATGCCATCATCGTAAGAAATCAAAAGAAGACCCGTGTTAGATCACAAGCACTGTTCAAGAGACAATGTATTTTGAAAATAATACTAATACTCCATTTCATCATCTGATGAAGTGTTCGGCTGTAATATAATGAAAAATGTTGATATCATATCCTGAAGGATCATGTAATTATGAACAAACTAAAAAGGATATGTATGATATGGCAACAGCCGCTATTCAAAGCTTTTCTTTCAAAGCTAAATGTATTTAAATGTTATAGGAAGATCCAATTATGGCGATGGCAAGACTTTTACAATAAGAAACAATCAAAACATAATCGTACCATGTTTCTGTATAATGCAACCAATAATAGCAATAATAAAAAACTTAAATATTATTATTTAAATATCATTTACCATGATGACTTTTTAGACACCTACATTATATCTGCATTTTTTACGTTATTGTTATATATAACTATGCACTGATCAAGTGACGATTCGGACATCAAAAGTTGTAGTTTATTATTTTAGTTTTGTTTTGAGCATTTTTCATATGCATTGCAATTGTAAGTTTTGGTAAAATTAATAAAAGATATAAATTATATATGACCAATATCCAATAGAATAATAAGAGACTTATTGTTACATAGTATATATTTACATTTTATACAAACATTTGTTACATCTAAAAGAATTAATAAAATAAAACAGGCGAGCGTTTCATGTAAACATTCAACATAATAGAAGAACCGTCAATATTATATATGAATGACTTAATTTGTTATGTAAAAATTGCTTGAATACCATGTGGCATGTCTAAAAGTAGTATATCTGTTTAAGACTCGGGTCCAGGTTTGACCATTTTTAAGTAAGAGACAAACTGTTACATGTATTTTAAGAATTATGTGCAAATGTGATATACATTTGTACTATTCAGGCGATATGTTTGTAGGATGTAAAATAACCATGCAAGTATTATGTCATGAAATTGTATATGTAGCTTACTTTAGAATTAAAAAGAAACTACAACACTTAGACTAATTAGTGGGACTTTATGCTAATTTTTCGTTGTCAAGTTGAGGTAGAGCAAACGATTGACTATAATTATTATGGTGATTGATCAGTAATTGATAATGTATTAAATGTTTATTATTCAATTAAAAAACGAACTAGATTATAAAATTATAAAATCTATATCAAGAAAATGTTTTGAAAAGAGATTGTTCTTTACTCATATTTAAATAAATACATTACAAAAAATATTCATTACACTATTAATCAAGTTATAAGTATAAATCAAATCATTCTTTCAGCCAATTTTATCATCACATTTATGGTAAGCATTGATATGTTCTCTCATCTTCTTTTTCAAGAGTTCTTTCGTAAGCTGATTTTATATATGTCTCGACATTTAAAAACACATCGGTTAAATCAATAGTTTTATTAGTGGAACAGTATACAACATCATGTTTGTTACTCAAGACAAGGGTATTTGTACAGCTAAATCAACGTAGAAATCAAAAATTTATTTTAATTATATTGTGTTGGAAGCTATAATTTTATTGAAATACTATTAAATCCGATCCTGGAACCAACCAGTACTAAGCAATGAATGGAAAGTGTCTTGGTCAAAGAAAAACCTTTCTTGGTTAGAGAAGAAAGGGATTGACCTTGACAGGGTATGAACCCATGCGGTCAGCAATCCTTCGACTACTAGTCCGACGCAAAAACCAATCGACTACTCTATATAATCAGAACCAGTATGACATATATAAAATCAAATCATTACATTATACGTTCGTATATATACAAAATATTATTTGAAAGACAGATAACAGTTACAAGAAAATGGTTCTCAGGTGAATATTTTTCTATGCGTTCAATCTATTCATGCTCGGAATAATAAGAGTAAAGATCATTTTGAACTGACATTATGTTTAGTCATTTAACAATTGTATGTATTGCATTCAAACATAAGACGTTATTGCAATTATGTACTCATGAACATGTCGTTATTATTCTTTCTTTTTTTTTGTAAAAAACGATAGTCTCACTTTGTACTCGATTTTAAAAAGAACGTATTTTATTTGTTTGCGAAATGGTCTCTATGGAAACTTAAGCAAGCTTATACACACAGCACAAATATGACACATTATGGCGCTGAAATCTAAATCTAAGGTTGCACGTTGAGAATCGTGATGTACTCGTACAATCACATCTTTTTTTGCAAAGTACAATCTACCCCATGTTATTTACTTTTATTAAATACGAGATCTCGTATGTGACTGATCTCTGCACGTGATCACAATTCGTATTACGG